ACTAAATTAGTTAGCGGCAACATAGTGTCATCTGTTGACGCTAACAGCATTATATGTATGATAACTTTGTGTCATAGCCAAACAATATTTCAATGAAAAATGATTTAAATAAAAGTCGATAATCGGATGTTTGTTCAGAATTAATGAAGGATCAGATATTATCTAGATTTTTCTTCATTACACAGCGAATCATAGGTTATCTTTCTAATGTGAGTATCTTCGCATAGGGAACGTTTTTAAAAAGTCTCGAATGTGTTCACAATAGAGAAGTTCACTGTGGTGTCAAAGCAACTAAAAATGTTCACTATTCAACATTACGACGGAGAATCCATTGAATTTTCCATTAACATATTATATAAAACAAGAAAGTATTAAATACATTGTATTGCATGGCTTATGCACCTTACCCAACAAAATTAAGTGTAACAAATTTAGAAAAAATATTGCATATTTTACTTTACGAATGAGAACATCAAAGTTAATTGACTTATGTTTTAAAAGTAGTGATTGACGATTATATTAATCATTGAGAATAATAAGTGAAATAAATGTTTTTCTTTATACAACAATGAACGCAACATGAATGTTATAGACGTTGATATCCTTCTAAAGTCACATAAATCAATCCTTGAACACTGATTTCTTCAAGATAATTCACTACTCGATTAGAATTTCATTAATAAAGAATGATACTCTTAATTTTTATGATAATCATATAAAGATGTTGACATCCTATTTTTAGAAAATTCGAACCATATCTTTTAATCTTTTGACTCCCAGCAGTACATATAGTCCCATCTCGAGAGTTTTCAAATTTTCGAGCTTTTCAGAATCTTGGAAAAATATTTTCAATAAATGTTAGAAGCTAGCAGAGGTTCGTACAAGATTGCACGGATAATAGAATCTACGGAGAATATTAAAAAGTGCCTGTATTATGCTAAGTTTCTTTACTTGAAAAAGGTTGTGACCCTGTAGCCTCGATTTTAAAAATCTTTCATTTTATCCTTGTCTTTGAAATCTATATCCATGAAATATATCGGAAGTACTATGATGGGTAGTTCAGTACATTGTAAAATATTAACGTCATTTGTTTTATTTACATCAATACACAACAATAGAATTCCCATCTGTACAAATAATACGCAATATCTACGTGTATGTCTGGACATCGAGTTAGCATAGTTCATTCAAACGAAGTAAAGATAGACGTAGAAAGCAAATACAAGAAGTATATGGTAGGAATCAATTTGCCTGATCAAAAAAACACAATGCTATGCAATCGATCGGAAGTCCAGGAGAAACTGGATAAGTTTATATTTGCATTTTCCATATATATTATTACTAAATTCGTTTATTTGTAATAAACACTTCTCGCCTTCTAATATTAGTGCAGTAGAAGATGTGTTACCTATTAGTATTGCACTCGTAGGTAATTATTATAGTAGAAAAAGGTAGGAAGATCTTTGGTAATAAGCAATCAGAAGAAGAAACATATTGAGAAGAGCATAAGTAACAAAGAAAGTTTTGAAAAAGCACAAGTATTGGCTCATATGTTGAAAATTATTTCAATTTATCGTCGTACGCTTATTGTAACACGAAAGAAAGAGAGAAAAGGATGAATTTAATTTGTAGCGTTTGTTGTGTTGATGTTCATGTAGAAAAATCGGTTTTTGTTGTATCATAAAAAAACACGTATATTAGTAATGAAATAGATAAATGTTTCAGTAAATTAATTGTAATAGGAATTTTTTATCAAAATGTAACAACAAAAATGCTTTCATGTTCATGTCATCAAGTGCTTTCTTTAATTGTACTTTAACCACATGGTTCCTAGTGTTACCTAGTTACTTTTTATACCAAATTTCATCAAATCCGATTCAGTAGAAAAAATTCAGAACTCAAACGGTTAAAGAACCACTAAAAACTACTGCAGATGTGATAAATATTATTTAGCAGTGCAAATGTCTTCTTTTAGTAAAGAATCGATTATAACTAAATCTTTTTTTATATGAGATAAACTCAAAGGGGAAATAACTGACTTTTATGACTTAAAGTCATTTAGATCATTTTAGATCATGTAGATCATTTAGATCATTTAGATCATTTAAGTCATAAAGTCAGTTGTTTCCTCCTTGGTGTTAGCCTTGATGGTAGGGCAGATCACTTCTCACAGCTCCAATCACAAGAATATTTTTCTTTGAACAAGAGTAAGATACGAACGAGACTAAGAGCATCTGTTTAGATCTATATTTTATGGTATAATAGAATGATTGAGGAAGCATGTATGATATTCAATGTACGATTATAGCTAAGATTTGTGAAAGATTTTCATGTGTTTTATTTTGATCTAATATGAAGTAAATTGGTAAACATAGAGAGCGATTAACAAAGAAAAAAATGATTTAAATAATGGTGTTAAGCAACTCCATACATTTGTTGGATATTTTTATTAGATTGATCAATGATTTTTGTTGCATTTATGTTTTTCTTTCTTAATATATTCACAATCTGTTGTGCTGTGCAAGTTATAGCACGTAGACACCGGCGGGCCGGCCTAGGATCTACAAGTCAAATTTTGCCCACGTAATATTCGAACCCCTATAGCTGTTCACATATTACGTAGACACAGGGTGTGGCAATTGCCACACCTCGCTGCATGGGCCGGCCCGCCAATGCACTTAGAGGATTGTATTGTTTCTGTTCCAACATGGATGGTTTTAAAAAAGGATAATCCGTTTCAATTATTATTTATCGAGTAATATCTTCATGAGATAAGATCCATTTGTGAAATAAGGTATTCGATTCAATATCTTCTTGAGAAAGAATAGAACAATTTAATCCAATATATGCATTGTTGAAATATTTGAGAAAACTTGTAATTACATTGAGATCACTTGCTTGATTGATACAATGCCAATGTATTTTATGCATCGAATTCAAATGTAATTCCAGTTCATGAAACATTAACTCAAATAAATGTGCACCACGACAATGAAGAACAAGAGGTATATCTAATTCAGCTGCTAACTTTAGTTGCATTCTAAAGACAGACAATTGTAATTCAAATGGATACTTACTCGTTTCATCAACTCCACATTCACCGATTCCCACTGTTTTCATAATAGTATTAAATTTATTTTTGAAAATGTTTTCTAATTCTTTAACTGTATATTCTACATTTGATGGTAAATATTTCGGATGGATATCATACGTAGTGTATATCTTAACATTAGGATTTTTCAGTTCACAATCAATAAACCATCGATGATGCTGATGTCGGTTGTCAATAAGTGTAATTTTTCTTCCATTGGAAAGATAAGTATTGAAATCATTTTCCTGCAGTCCATAACGAAAAAAAAGATCGAAATGACAGTGACCATCATATATCGGTAATCCCATCGGTAAATGATAACCATTTTTACATCGACATACATTGTACAAACTGTTTTCACAAATACAATTCATATTCACGTGGTAACTCACAACTGGAGTGTCTTATATATCATCTAAAAGAACGAATGGAGCGAGAATGACTATCCTTTTCACTCACTTATTGACGGACTGATAGTTGGTGATATTATTGAAACTGCCGAAACAGCTTTCATTTTTTGACGGTACAAATGATTGGATGATATTCTTATAAACGTCAAACATATTTTAATAATCGTAACCAGACTGCAACGACACCTGTTTTTGATCAGCACAAGAGCTTTAATAATAAAATTTCACTTTGATCGAAAGTCATTTGATTCCTATTCTACTCGTAAATTCGAGCAGCTTAGAATATTCTTCGTTTTGAAAATTCTTCAATTTTGATTATGATCACAAAATTACACAAAGTATCTATTTAAGACGAAAAGAATCTACGTTCATCTCAAGTAACAGATAAATTTCTCACAAAATATTTCATCATCAGGTCCTATGTCTATTGAACAAGAAATAAATAAAGCAAAACAAAAAAAGAATATCCTTGAAAGTACAAATTGTTATAGTGAGTTAGTGTTACTGTATAGCATTAAAATTATTCTAATTGATAGAATGAAATAAGATAAAGTGATTTCAATTATCTTTTTCTTTTGACAGTTTTTCTTTAAGATATATTCTAGTTGAGTTAAGAAATTTATAATATAAAACACTGATATGCAACATATTTGATATTGCAAAATAAAAAGTTGAAAAGTCTGAGAGGTTTATTATTTAATTGTCAACAGTTTTTAGTGTTATTTAAGAAACAAATATTTATTATAAGACAGTTTATGGTACAGTCAGTTTGATATAATAAAAAGTTTTAGTATATACGTATATTAGTTGTGACAAGTAAAAGCGTATTTAATTAATTAATTATTAAAAAAAGTGTAAATCTATAAATTAAGAGTACTAACTTTAATTTTGTAAAAAACCTATAATATGTGTATCCAAAAAAAAACTGTCTATTCGATGTTATAACAATTAAAGAAAAATAGTTTTAACGACAGATAATTTAATAAACATAATCAATGGAAAGTCTCAATAACAGTATTGCTATATAGATATTTTTTTTTATTCTTTATTTCTTTATTTTAATATTAGTATTTATTAATTTGATTATTACTTAATAATATTTAAATAACTATTTGAAATCTTGATTAGAGACTTTTTGCAGCAATATCAAAAGTCCAAAAAATGTCCACTTTACTAGAAGTTTGTCAGCTATCCAAAGGACTTTTCTCACTGAATACAATTTTAAATATATAACACGTTACAGGAAAGGGTGAAAAAAAATATATATCACGTCAGCGGATATTTCGCTCTTCCAGCGGATCTTTCTAATCATTTAAGGACTTTTCCATTCTCGCATTTGATAGAAAACAAAACACACACATAAAATCATTACTTACGAAATATTTTCGTGTATCTAATGTGCTGTGGGATATTTCTCTCTTCAATGGACTTCACTATATTTATTATTATTTTTCTTTTCTTATATTTCATCTATTTACAGATTTACGATTGAAATACATAGAATGACTACAAATCAGATATTGGAGAATATTTTTGATTTATTCAATGTACTAGCGGATATTTGTTTTCTTTTGCAGACTTTTCTATCGCTAGTGGTATATTTCTTTTTCTTTATTTTACCTGTTGAAGCAAGTAGTCATGAAATACATATGATGGTTACGATAAGAAGAATTACTTATATCTTTCATTTATCTAATGTCCTTGTAGATACTTGCTGCTTTAGTGAAATTTTCTATGAATAGTAGTATTTTCTTCTCATATCATTTAAACTGTTGGGAATAATAGCAAAAAGATTTCACGAGTATAAATAAGATGTTTTTGAATATTTTTCGTTTATCTAGAGTTCCGACGGATATTTGTTTCTTCAGTAGACTTTTCTATAGTTATTAATTTTTTCTTTTTTTTTCTTTTATTTATTTAAATGTATATCCATGACATACATATAATGATTATAAGATATTTTCGAATATTTTTCGTATATCTGATCTGCTAGTAGATGTTACTTTTTTTGAAAGAACTTTTGCATAGCTATTATTTTATTTTATTTTTCTTTTATTCTGTTATTCAAATATGTAGTTATGAAACTCATAAAATGACTAATAAAGAAGATGATGGTTTATATTCTTCTTATATTTAATGTACTAGCGGATATTTGCTTCTCCATAGGTTCTTTCAAAAACTACTAGTACTTTTTTTCTTGTTCTTCATTTTATCTATTGAGAAATAGATACAACAGATTCAATAACTGAAAAACAAGATGATTGAGCATAGTTTTCATATATCTAATATACTAGTGAATATTTGTTTCTCCGGCGAACTTTGCTATAGCTGTTTGTTTTTTAGTTTTATCTATTCAAACAGTCAGTTATGGAATACATAAAGTGACTATCAATAAAGTGAATGAGGGGATCTTTTGTTCATCAAATATGATACCGATAGTTTGTTTTTTATCTGACTTTTGTGTAGCTATTAGTCTCGTTGTTTTCTTTATTTTATCTTTTCAAACATGCAGCTGTAAAATTCATGGAATGAATATGAATAAGATGATGGCCTATTTTCTTGTTACATCTAATGTGCTTGTGGATGTCACTTTATTCAGCGGACTTTCCTATAACTTGTAATATTTTTATCTATATAAACATGAATATATCAAAAAATAAAATAACTACAAATAAAATGTTTGCGAATATTTTGCATTTATCTAATGTCTTAGAGTATATTTGTTTGTTCTAAGAAGTTTTCTTTAGCTTCTAGTTTTTCTGTTTTAGTTTCCTCTTATATGTTGAAACAGAAAACGATGAAATACCTTGAAATACCATCAATAAGATATGGTGGCTTGTGTTCTTTTATCTAATATACTAGCGGATATTCGTTTATTCAACGGACTTTTCTATAGCTGAAATTTAGTTCGTTCTTTTTTATTTTATCTGTTTTAATATTTAGCTTTGATATACCTTTAATGATGATAAACAGGATGTTTGTGTTTATATTTCGTATAAGTAATCTGTTAGTGCATATTTGCTTCTTCAGTGGACTTTCGTACAGGTATTAGTCGTTTTTCTCGTTCTATCATTTTATCTATTAAAAAATAGATGAAAGAGATTCGATGAATATAAACAAGTTGTTTGTGTGTTTTTTTTGTCTATACAATCTGCTGACGTATATTTGTTTCTACAAACATGGCTATAACGTACATATAATGACTATAAATAAGATGCTTGCCAATATTTTTCTTTTATCTAATGTGCTAGCGGATATTACTTTTCTTTATCACACTTTTGTATAGCTGATAGCCTTTTTCTTTTTCATTTGTTTTATCTATTCAAGTATGTAGCTGTGACATTCATGATGACTATATATACGATGATTACGTATATTTTTTTTGTATTCCTTAAGTGCCAATGGATATCTGTTTCTTCAACAGATTTTTCTCAAGTTATAAATTTTTTCTTTTCTTTTACTTGGCTTAAACACGTTGCAATGGAATACGTAAAATGAATATAAATAAGATAATTGCGTATATTTTCCGTGTGTCGAATGTGATAATAGATACTTATGTCTTCAACAGACTTTTCTATTGTTATTAGCTTCTTCTTTATTAATAATAAAGGATAAATATATATCAAGTCTTTATGTAAGAAAAAACACTAAATGTGAGTTTAAATCGATTGATTGATTTTGTATCGCATATAATACACCGATTTTATTGAAAAATATATTTATCACAATAAATTGACCCAGATATTTTATCAATAATTATTGATCAGAAATTTTGAATAATAAAAAATCGTCTTTTTGTTTTTTCAAATATTGTTTACTAGATTTGAATTCTTTAGTTTAAATAAAAATTATTATTTTCGATTTTATTCTCGAGATGGATAGAGGATTAACTGTCTTTTATAATCAAGTGATTCTTTGTTTTAGATTTTTTTTCGATTGACAATTGAAAACTTATTAATCAAATATAATATGATAAATATCATAAAACGAACGAAAAGAGAAAAATGAACAGCATAATAAATAATAAGCTGTACTTTGATATATAACCGATGTTTCACCTTGCAATACACTGAGAATAGACGTCCAATGATGCATATTATCTTAATATTATGCAGTGTAAGTTTTATATTGTTGTTATTGTTAGATAGAAGAAAAAAAAATAGAGTGAAAAGGAGGAAGACGAAGAAGACAAATATTAAATAAATGAATAATAAATACCGGGTGGGCCAAAAGTAAGGAAAAATAGAAAAAATTGAATATCTCCATTATGGCTTGAGCAAATGAACTAATTTTTTCTGTCAATGATAGAAGCATGTTCAAGCTTTATATCTATAAAGACACACCTAGAGAGAAATCCTTTGTTAAGTATATTATTTTATTTCCTATTCTTGAAAAAGTAATTTTTTTTTCTTAAGATCAATCGTGATACTTAATAAAGAGTCTCTTTAGCCATGTCTTTATGGATATAAAGCTTGAACATGCTTCTATCATTGACAAAAAAAATTAGTTCATTTGTTCAAGCCATAATGGGGATATTCAATTTTTTCTGTTTTTCTTTACTTTTGACCGACCCGGTAGATATAAGTATAAATGAATAAGTATAAACCTATAACGACGAGAACTTAGAAAGACTTTTTTAATTAATGCGAAGAGTGTCGACCTTGGTCGTAAGGCGGAACATCACTAACAACATTAGTTAGAATAAGTCTAGAGTGGTTTTTTTAACTTCAGAAGATGCAGAAAAGAGATAAAAGCAGTGCGAGGAGTGTCGACCTAAAGCGGAACATCTCCCACAACACTAATAATAGTAGGTTAAGAATTATAGAAATGCGAGAATGGGTGATTTAGACAGAAGTGGACGTTGATGTTATTTAAAAGATTAATGGTAAATTGCTTCTAAAACATTCCATATATCAAGAGGTTTCTTATAGGAAAGAGGATGATTGATGGTTATGTAGGTATGAGAATTTTAGATTCACCCTCTCGATCGACTGTCTGAATGCACGATTTACAATTTGTCCTATCTATACGGTAAACCTGAATTTGGTAGAAAGTAGAAATGTCGAAAATAAAAATATCGAAATAGAGAAATCTTGAAAGACAATACTGTAGTTGTAAAAGAAAAGATTATTTTGTTGTGTTACTAATTAAAGCTTTATTTTAATGTTAGAAATGTGGAAATCGTATTTTATTCGAAAATTTTTTTTAATTAAAAAAAATAGCACAATAGTAAGGTAAAATAAAAAATAACGTAAATCAATAATGGAACTGTTGCAGTCTCATTTAGTTTTTTTCGCAACCACATATGATAAACCCATGAGGAGATCAGATGCATTAATAAGATTATTAGCATATCGATTGTAAAGAGTATTGATACGCTGTTGCATCATTGTTGTTCGAATAGTTTTTTTCTTGTGGCACCAGCTGCCCATTGAATTGTAATACATTGCACCCTTTTCTCCTCATTTTGCAAAAATTTGATGAAAAACCATATATTAGGATGATTTCGGTATATACGACTATTCATTCTAGTATGATAATCTTTGAAAAGAAACAAAATAAGTTGGAAACTGAATCTGTCATTCTCACCTTCGCAAACATTGTTCGTTCGTGTGTCACATGCGAACACATTCCATAAATCAATATCATCTAACCGGTTTTTTTCAAAATAAATTAATAATTCTTGTATAGGATAACCGGGTAATTTATCAGCATCAGCGTGAACTTCTTTGTAACTATCAATAATATGTTCACGTGGCATTAATGCTAATGCCACAATTTTCCTGCATAATACTCTAAAAGATTCATTTGTTGAATGATCCTGTTGTTTTCCTAAATGTTGTATTTGACGATATATTGCCTGACAATAATGGAAAAAACATGCATAATGTTTTGATACAGGAAACTAGAAATGAATAAAATTGAAAGCTATATAAAATTTTTGTTGATAGCATGATTACTAATTTCGAATTTTACCACTGGTAAAAAATCTGCTTCAAAATCAGTCATGATCATTGCAGGTGAAAAAGTTTTACCACGTTCTGCTGCTCTTTGTTTCAGTTCATCGAATATATGTCTATATGTCACAGATTTTTTATTTACTAACAAGCAGAAAGCACAAGGTAGACCTTAAACAAAAAAAGATGGCTATTTAGAAAAAAAAAACTAGTGTTTACATATATCAAAAACAATTGCATGTATAATATATATTTGTGTAAAATGTGGAGGACTTTTGGAAAATGTTCCATCCATATAAATAATAGGAGAATGAAATAAGACGTCCAGTTGACGATCACTTGCAAATATTAACACACGTTCACGTCGTGCAGGTGATGCATCAGATAATAAAAATCGTTTTCCATCAGTTGTTGTTTTAAAATCATCTGGAACATCAAATAAACACGATTGTGGTAATAATGGAATTGTTTTTTGTCGAGCTTTCGCAACGGATGGATCTGGAAAACAAGAAAAAAGAATTTAATTAAATATAGTCGTAACAAACTTACATATTTCTTGACTAGTTGGTAAAATAGCCAAAGTCGTTGAGTGATTAGATATTTTAGCAATTTCTTCTTCATAAATCATTGAAATTGGTATTAATTCTTTAAGAGCACGTTCTTTTATCTTTTGACGGACTTGTCTAGCTTCAACCATTTCCGGATTTGGTTCATGATCATGTTGAGCTGTACCACCATATAAGTACTTGTCATTTGTATCTGTATGAACATACATTGTACATTCATTATTAATACATAACCAATATTTTTTCGTAGACGTTTTTTTATTGCGTTTGTATAAATAATTATTCAACACCAGCAACAATTTACCTTTATTTGATGTAATGAAAGTAACTTTTATATTATTTTCAACAGATGCTTCAGTTACTGCAGCCATCGTAAATTTCTTTTATTTCCAGTTGTTGATGATGTTCTTGACTATATGCTTATGTATAACTTTTTTTTTTGTTTGTCCAGTCCCACGCGGTCTAATTATTGTTCATTATCTTGATCAGTTACGTAATCGACCAATAGCAATAAATTACAAGTATACTTCATTTTTTATTTATAGATGGCTAGTTCCATCTCTATTTGTATTCTAATTATTTCAATCTGCTGTTAAATTTTCACAAGTTCAAACAGTACACTCTTTTTCGATATTTCTATTTTCAACATTATTTTTCGACATTTTTATTTTCGATATTTTTATGTTCTACATTTTTATTTTCGACATTTTTATTTCTACATTATTCAGGAGAACCATCTATACACCACGTATGTACGTAATATAAGTTGCTAACTAATCTTTTGTCATTTCTGCTTGGTAATTGCTCTCGATTCGCTCTACAAACATGTCGAAACCCAAAGGTCCTACGGTTGCTAAGAGACTCTCTAATAATTCCAGTATCGCAATGCATGCACATAATTTTTTTGTTTTCTATATCAAGCGTTTTGAGCACTAGGTCTTGACGTTTTTTCTTCCACTTGTCTGGCTTCAGTAGAATTTGTGCTAATGGAAGATCACTGATAAGATCGTCTTTAGGTCTCGGTACGATAACAATACAAGCCCCACAGCTATCTTTTCTAGGACACCAGCTCGACTGTACAAAAAGCCTATCATACACCTCACGCTTTCCGTTTTTTCTTCCGTTTCTCATCAAGCCCGAAGCTGAGCAGGGATGCGATCTTAAAACATTTGGCATTGTCTTGTGAATAAGCACCACTTTTTCACAGTGAACACACATAATCATATCTGTTTCACAATTGTAATTTTGAAGGGCATGACCTGTTGATCTGCATCTTTAATTAAAAATGGCTGTCTCCCTATCCATCCGCATACAGCTCGGTTTATAGCGTTTGATTTTTCACCGTCCTTATCAACGCGAATGTTAAGTAGAGCTGCGACAAGCGCTTCGGTGTCTTTACTACCATCAGCAAAAACGACCACGAGACGGTGAGGTACCTCTCGTTCTACTAAAGTGTTCATTGTAAAACGCAAAGTACGTTGTGAAAGTTTTTTCTTCCTATAATAACCTGTCCAGCGCTTAGTTGGAGGTCTTTGTTCTGTTTGACCAACATATAGCCAACGGAAAACTTCAACTTTCTTTCGAAGTGGTAGTTCATTTTCAATGTAGTTACGAAATTGTACTACGATAGAAGGACGATGATCAGCAGTGTCTGGATCATCATGAGGAGCTGTACGAATATCCTGTTCAATTTCTTTGCAATAACCTTCTATGTCCTTAACTGGAAAATCAAAGCTCCAAACGTATGTGGCTGCCGAAGCAGTTGGTTTATTCCATTTACTTCATCTAGGAGGGTGAATAACAGAGTCACTAGGACGTACTAACTGTGCAATATCAAAAAAAGATGGGTTGACTCTTTCACCATTCTCCGCAAACGCGAAAAAAATCTCGTCCAACCCAGGATTTTCAATGCGTACCTTATCTAACAGCTCACAAATTTTCGATGTACCACCTTTAATCGCACGTAAATTTTGGTTACTTTTCAACCAGGAAAGAAATTCAGGCCGCTGAAAACTTTCAGTCTTAGGAAAAACTTTAGAAAAAATTGTGGGAGGCATTTGTAAACGTTGTCTCTTTGCTCTCGGACATGTAGATGTTCCTAGTTGTTCCTTTCGTTTATTGTCTCCTTTTTGTTTTTTTCGAATCTACAATTTCATCGCCTACGATGATTGAATTCTCTTCAGTAGCACTATGCACACTGATCTGACTAATGTCACTATTACTACTTTCACTTCTAGGACTACTTTTACTATCATTTTCATCTATTGTTAAATTTAATATACTTGTAAAAGAAGCCATTGTTGAAACAGAAAGAAAGAAAGAAATGAATGAATAAAGAAATGAATATAGAAATGAATGAATAAAGA